GGTGCCACATTACAGCGTTGCTGGCACTCGCGCTGCCCGGCATTGATGCGAACGATCTGGGCAAGACGCAGTACACGCTCAACTTCATCCAGAGCGTGGCTTATAGTATCCCGTTCGTGCCGCTGGTGCACGAGGACGACAACATCCACGACACGAGCCTGGCCATGAATTGGGTCCAGGGCGAGATGGAAAGGATGGAGCGCGAAGGACAGGATGTCAAGATCTGCTACAAGGAGGAGCTGAGCGATGAAGATGAGGCCAATATTCTGCGGTCGTCCACCGCCGGCCTCGGCGAGTTTGTGCTTGCACTCCTGGGCAAGGTGTTTGCCCTGCTGGAGAACCTGCCGGACTCTAGCCACCTCCGCACTGGCTCGCCAGAGGACAATGTCATCAACACCCTTCCCGCCGCCCTTACGCCCCTTTTCGCATCGCTCTCCCCTGAGCTCTTCGATATGACGCTCGACAAGCTGGCGACCTTTGTCTCTAGCCATGTTGTTCACCAGGCTCGGGATGCCATGGCGTGGATCTGCAACGCGCTGTGCAAGGTCAACCCGGAAAAGACTCTGAAGGTTTTCATTCCCATGCTGATCGTCAACATTCGCAACGAGATCGATTACAACGGCGCCGCCTCGGACCGCAGCAGCGGCACTGAAGTGCTCCCCCGCGACCGGGCTCTCGTCTGGCACGTCAGCTTGCTCAGCATGTGCGTGGTCCATGTGGGCGCCGAGGTGTTGAAGTACAAGGAGGAACTGTTTGGCATTGCCGAATACATGCAGGAGAAGTGCCGCGGTCTGCCTACGATTCACATCTCGAACTACATCCACCACCTTCTTCTCAACCTGACGCACACTTACACCATGGACATTGCCCTGCACGAGCGCGACGTCATTGCGCGTGGCTTAGACACCAATGACTGGGGCCGCACCACCGCGCCATCGGAGCTGACTATCAAGTGGCATCGTCCATCGCCCGCCGAGATTCTCTTTGCGGTCGAGCTGTTTGAGAGCCAGGCTAAGAGCGCTGCCCAAAGGCTGGAGCAGCTCATGAGCGACGATCCGCCCGTCAGCAGGAAGGGCAAGAACAAGATGTGGTCTGATGAGCTGTCGCGGAGCCTAACCGCGCTTCGTCTGATTATCTCTGGCGTTGCCACCCTTTTTGACCCGGCCCGCGCCTCCGGAGAGAGGAGCAAGCAGGTTGCGAATGGGGACGACAAAACAGACGGCGATGGTGACACCATGATGGAGGAGGACGATAACCCCCTCGCCGAGGTTGCGGACGATGACGAGCTGAAGCGCCAATTCCACTACCCAGCTGGATATCTCCTGACACCCGAGGACCCGGTGTATGAGCGCATCCACGGCCTGCGCGAGGATGTTGGACGGCTGCTCTCCCAGACCCACGCCTTCCTTAACAGCAACCAGGAAGACGACGTGGCGTGCTTCACCGCGCTGTATGCCACGTACCGAACCTGGATTACCGATGTCGGCATCGAGCGCTCGGCGCACCCGCTCGAGCGCCTCGTCCGCCTTTACAAGGCCGATATCTCGCCGTTCAAGATCAGCGGGCTGCGCAAGGTCTACCCGCGCCCGCTGCTTGTCAAGCGCGCGGATGCCTACCACCTGCAGCGCGTCAAGTACAACTCGGCGTACCGCAAGAAGAGCGAGCTGGACAAGCAGCTGCTGCTCGATCTTGCCGAGTCCTGCACCTCGTCGTATGCGGATGTGCGCCGGGTTGCTCAGGGCGCCCAGGACTCCTCGCTGAAGGTATTGCTTGGAGGCAGGCCCCTTGTCATTCCCGTTGTCATGGCTAGGCTCCGCAAGGCGATCGAGGAGAATGATCACGACCGCATCAAGGGAGCGATGTACACGCTTTTGTTCACCACTCTTATCAAGACGGTGATGCGGGATTGGCGTTTTGCGCCCGACCTGATGCGGTTGTACATCCAGACGGCTAGCGTGGACAAAGCCTCCATTCAGAGCCTTGGGTCCTCGGCGCTTTACCCGCTGCTTGACTTTGGCAAGCCGCTAGAGCGCATGATCATCTTTGATCGGGACATTGTCGATACCATCAAGCCCGCCGAGGACTGCTCGGTGGTCATCAAACGGCGGAACGACTTCATCAAAGACCGCCGCACCAAGGTGGAGGCGAAGAAGGCAGCTCTCGGTTTGGAACTGACCAAGAAGTCCCGCGAGTCGCACTGGAAGGTGGCGAATCGGTGCACCATCTTTGCGCTGAACCTGTCCCTGCGTTTTGATACGCTGGCGAATCCTGAGTTTATCGACCTAATTGCCAACGGGACGAACGACCAGCACCCGAGTCTGAGGGCGAACTACATCTCGGCGTTTTCTGCCATCTTCACCGCCATCGACATGCGCGCTATTTACGATCACAGCTACAAGAACTACCTCACCGAGGTGGAGAAGGACGCCAACAAGTTCCAGGTTCAGGTGCCGGCTGACGACCCTGACTACACCGGGAAGTTCCTCGCGCAGTTCGACAAGTACGACGACGTCGAGTACTTTGTGGATAACGACTACCCCGGCTGGCTGGTGTGGGGTAAGGAGTTCACTGTTTCCCGAGCCAACCCCAAGCCGTTTGTGGACTACGATGAGGTTGAGAACCGTGTCCGCGAGCAGATTGGCAACATCATCACCAAGGATTGGTTTAAGCAGTGCTTCGAATATCTCAAGCAGGAGCCGAGAGATGCGAGCGCCGATAGGTTCCGCATGCAGAATTTCATCCTGCTTATGAACGTGTTTGACCTGATGCACTATGGGAAGACGGCGGCGACGTTCGAGGATGTGATTGACCTGATCAAGGACGTGTATGGGGATGGCAGCGACAAGCACCAGCATCGTGCCACGGCTGAGATTCTTGGCTCGTTGCTCGGCGGTAGCATCGACGACCCGCGGGAGATGCGCGACAAGGTCTGGGATTTTGCGGCGCCGATGATGCTCAAGATCATTGCGGATGATTTGACGCCGGATAACCTGTCGTACTGGATGACCTGCTTGCATCTCATCATTGATGCCAAGGATCCTAGGCGGTCGAGGGAGCTGACGGAGACGCTGGCGTCGTTCCGCTTGGACATGAACTCTAATGCAGCGTTCAAGGAGTCGTCAAAGGTTCAGCTTGTCGAGTTCATTATCAACGATGCTGGGTGGCATTTCCGCAAGGAGAAGCCCATCCTAGAGGACTGCCTCGCGCACATCGACCACCCCTACAAGTCGGTGCGGGAGTCTATCGGCCGCCTCATCGGCACCATCTACCGCACGCGGTACCACGAGTCCTTTAAGGACGTCTCGACCCTTCTCGAGCAAAACAAGGCCGTGTCTTCGGTTGGCATCCGTGCTTACCAACCGTCGGCAGAGTTTTCTGCCACGATCAAGGACGTCTTCACCAGCCTCGAAAAGTGGCGCCACGAGCGCACACCCGGCCAACAAACCCCCTCTAGCTACACCTCTGGCTCCAAGACCGTCCTCATCTGGCTCGACAGCATGCTCTCCTCCCAGGAATGCATCCAACTCGTCCCCTTCTTCCCCGACCCCTTCATCGACCAGCTCCTGCACATGATGGACGTCAAGGAAGACCCGGAGCTCATGAAGCTCGCCTACCACGTCTACCGCCACCTGCCCAACATCCCCTTCCGCTCCGGCGAGGACGACGCGTTCATCGCGGCCCTCGTTCGTGTCGGCAAGACGGCCGCCTCATGGCACCAGCGTCTGCGCGCGCTGGTCAATATGCAAGTTGTCTACTTCCGGAGGTTGTTCCTCACGCAGCCGGTGCAGCGCCAGATGCTGTTCGATGCGGTTGGCGACATGCTCGCGGACGCACAACTCGAAGTTCGGGACTGCGCAAGCTCCACCTTAGCGGGAATGATCCGCTGCTCGCCTGCCAAGATTCGGAAGCCGGTTATCTACAAGCTCAAAGAGCGGTTTGAGACGCAGCTCAAGCAGAACCCGATGCCGAAGCGGAAGATTCCGGGGACGGATACGCCCGTGGATACGCAGAAGCAGGTTGTGAGGCGGCATGCGGCAGTGCTGGGGTTGGGGGCGTTGATTGAGGCGTTTCCGTATGCGACCCCGCCGCCGGAGTGGATGCCCGAGGTGTTGGCGCATTTAGCAACGAGGGCGGCGAGCGACCCCGGAGTGGTGGGGAAAGCGACGAAGGCGATACTGGCGGAGTTTAAAAAGACGAGGCAGGATAGTTGGGGGGGTGGATCAAAAGGTGAGTTTTCTTTTTCCTTTTCTGTACGGAGAAGGAGGTGTGGAGATGGAGAAATAGTCGTGCTAACAGTTATGGCAGTATTTTACGAGTGAGCAGCTGGAGGATTTGGAGGGTGTGCTTTGGAAGAGTTACTTTGCTTGAACCTTCTTGCGGGGTTCAGTCGACGACACTGGTGTGTGTGCATGTTCGAAACAATTGGGTTCAACGGTGAGGATGTTGCAACGATCATGAGAGGGGGGGAAGGTGGCCAGCAGCGCGGCAGCGCGGCAGTGTTGGGCGGAAATGATGAATTACGTTTTGTGTGATGTATTGGTCAACAGCATCATGAAGATGGTATGGATGAAAGCATGGACTGGAGAGCATGGTTGATTGGTTGTGGGCGAAGGAAGGGGAGGGCTGGCTTGGGATTGAGAGGTTAGGTAGGGGTGTGACCTGGAATGTTAGGTAGACCATGAGTAGCGGCGAGAGGGAATACAGCGTGGGTTTTAGTTTAGTGTTAGATGATGTAAGTATAGAGGGTGTCGTAGGGTAATGAAAGCGTTGATTCCATCTAGTTTCAGTTCTGGTGTGTTGAATGAAGTGTTGTGGCAGCTTGAAGTTTCGGTTAACCTTTTTTCACACACAGCATGAGTGCCTGCATGTGGAGAACACGGCGAACTGGGCATCGAGCGAAAATGAAGAAAAAAGACATGGTAGCAACATCCAGGAGAGAGAAAAGGTAAAAGAAAAAGGGAGGAACGTTAAAATAAAAAAAAAAACCCGGAAGAAAAATATGATCGACCCAGGGATCGAACCTGGCACCTTCTCGGTGGGAAGAACCCATGAATTCAGTTTGTGAACGAGACGTGATAACCACTACACCAGCCGACCGTTGTTTAGCCGATACAAACTATTAGCTTTATCTCCACCGTGCCTTCTGATGCCAATCCACAACCAACCACAATCGAATCCCTTTCGGTTTGGCCTTTCCCTCAAAACTCTAAGTCCTTTCTTACACAAAGCACTTCAAACAAATACACAAGTGCCCGCCAGAAATCTGATTCCAAACTCCAAGACAGATTCCGTACCCAACACCATCCACCATACACTCCGCTGCCACGTTCCAGAGAACCAACTTCCCCTGCACGTATTACGCAGAGCACCCTCCGCTACGCAAGACAACCCCCTTCACCATTACGTGTAGCCCGCCTACCCAATCAAATCCAAAACTCCACCCTGCGCAGCGCAGCGTAGGCAGTAATTTCTCCACCCGGGCTATCATCCGCGGTAAAAAAATAAAATTAAAAATTGGGGTGGGGCATGCGAGGATGTAACTCTTGAGTTTGGTTTATGGAGGGGTGATTCTGTTCTGTCATGGGATGCGCTCAGTGGGAGGTTGAGGGGTTTGTAAAAGGGGCGGGGGTGGTTCCAATGGGGACTCTCTTGAGAGTGGGAGGGATGGAAGCGGATCATGAACCATGAAGGTTCTGGACCCAGTGGATTGGGAAGCTGGATTGTTGGAGGAATGGTGGTGGACGTTCCGGTTGGGAAGGGAAAGTGACGGGTCGCCTTGGTGAAATGGAGTGACATGTGATGGTTAGTTAGTGGATTGGTGAAGAGACGACCGTCACCTCGCCAGAAAGTCTTGGACTTAAAATCCCGCCACTCGCTCAAGATATGTCCGGAAAACTGCTGCTCGTTTGTCCTCTCGGGTCTTGCCCTGTCTTTGTCACCGAGCTTCGAGTTTCTTTGAGCCTTTGACTCGCTGCCGCCGCAAGCGGAAAAGGCCAATAAATTTCGTTTCTTTGCCTTGAGAACACCCCACGATTTTTCTTTATAGCAGTCACTCTGCTCCTCAACTTTCAGCATCTAATTTTCGTCCTGGCACCGAGGTAGTCCACGGCGACGGACTTGAGCTTGGCTCCTTTGTCTCTCCCAGGAGGCAGTAGGGTCCGGAACAGGAAATCCCCCATGTCACAACACCCTGACCGAATTTGGAGTATCCCAGATTGGTACCTATATCAGTCAAAGAGAGGTGCCATAGGGCCGAAAAAAAAATAAACCATTGGCTCAGACACAAAAAAAAGGGCTCTCGTCCTCCCCATCCACCCTAATATCTATCCTACAACAAGCAGCTCTGCCTCTGCCCTCCGTCCAGCAAGCGAGAACTGAACCTCCGCACACACGCATCATGGCCATGCGACCTACAATTCCTTATTACGCTTCGCCCGAGTGCCTCCCGGCGCCCTTGCCTACCGTGGCGGAGATTCTCGCCTCCAAGGAGCGCCTCTCCAATGAGCACCAGGTTTGTGTCGTCCGCGTGGGCAAACACTACGCGGTGAAGTTCGGAACCCGTACCAGCATTCAGGAGGGCGAAAACATGCTTTTCGTCCAACAATCGACCAGCATTCCCGTCCCAAAGGTCTACGCGCTCTTCCGGGCCGCGGTCAAAGGCCATAAGCCCGATCCCACCTTCATCGTGAGAAAATGGACGAGGAAGACCTTGTAGTGCTCCTGTTCAAACGGCCCTCCTCATCGTAGTTGTTCATGTTTTTAACGGGATGATCCATCTTGTTGGTTGTGATATTGATTCGTCTTTAATGCTGTATTGTAATAAGGGGAGGTTGTCCTTGGAGCCTGGCGTAAAGGCTGCTACTCAGAGTCCGCGTCAATCTCTCAATTTATTATTCCTTCACAGCCTTGCTCACGAGAAAAAGAAGCTTGCTGATGCTAGCGAGCACTAATTTTGCTGGAGTCTGCGCCAGGAACACACAAACACATAGAAGTCACGAAACAGATCTGACATGAATTCTAGAGCGGTTCGGGCATTGCCATAGTGGGGCGCGCATAGATGGCACATCCCAAAATCTTCTTTGTTTGGGGGCGAGGACTTCTTTGTGTGTGACGGCGACATAGAGATACCTAGCGCCACTCCATGGCGGAGACATTTCGGAAGAACGCGTTGAAAGAGAACTTAGATTGCTTATAGTTAGGCTGATAAGATATTGACTATAATTCGAACCACGTGTGTTGTGTATCTCTCCCCGGGCAACTCCCACTGGTGAAGGAGTCTGGTGCATTTAGACTACGGTTTCAGCCACTGTCAAGATTCCAGCTCGATCACGCCATGACTCTCATTAGCAGCCGGCGCCACAGTTTGAAGAAACTTGTGACAGAAGTGTTCTTGGCGCCCCATGCATCCCAACCACCCTACTATTGGTAATAATGGCGGGAAGTGAGGGGGTTGATTGTCGATGTGGTGTTAGGGGGACGCGTCTGGCATGTTGCACTCAAGTCGTCCTGTCAGCCTCTTGCAAGGCCAGTACGAGAGGTATGTCAGCCTCGTACTTCACTTCTTGCCATGTCCTGTGACGAGAATGAGATTATAAGAGATAGGTGTGTTGTACATATGCCTTGAGAACTATTTCCAAAGTATGACAGGGGCCGACCACGGGCCTCTAGGCCACAGAGGCCGACAGCGGTAGAAGAGGCCGCAGGAGTAATAGCACGCTGGACCGGGGGAACCACCGACACGGATAGGGTAGTCGAGGAGGCTTGGAGAAAAAGATGGCTAAAGGGACGAGATGGCCGGGCGATGACGAGACCAGCGGACGACCTCGACCACCAGCAGAAGACTCTATTCAAGGACAAGACTCTTAAGAAGCACGAGGGACTAAGCAAAGCGAAGAGCTCGTTGTTGGTCCAAGTCCGAACTGGGGACATAGGCCTCCGGGACTTCTTGTTCAAACGGGGAGTCCCAAGTGTGCTGACGCCCTGCTGCGAGTGCGGCGAAGGGCGGGAGACTGCTGAACACCTGGTGGTGTGGTGTTTGGCCCCACCGTTGACTCGGACGTGGGAGAGAGCAGAAGTCAGGACGCGACGAGACTTTCACTCTGTTCTACAGGGTGCCAGTCCTTCAACTGCTCGGCTGACGAGGAGGATACTGGGCTGGCTGATGGATTCAGGAAGACTGCCGATGTACAGCTTGGCTAGGAAGCTCGAGCTGGAGTAGGCAATCTGACTCGCACCGGTCGGAGGCCAAGAGGCCTTCTCTTTTTGTATTTTGCAGGCTCATTCACTGATCTCTTCCCTTAATCATCGGTATAGGTTTTTCACCCGGCCCGCAAGGGCGCGGTTTTCCTGTATAGTAAATGTCTGAAGGTCCGACATGCCCGCAGGGCACAGCGGTGTAGGAATAATAATATTTCCAAAGTATGCCGGGCCGGCTTCGGACGCGCGAGGGATGGCTACCTTTCTGGTCGGACTCAGCCTCGCCGCTCCCTAGCCACGGTGTTGTGTCCTTGCCAAACTCTATTTTGTAGAAGTTATGCTAGCAGCTAAGATTGCTCGTGCTGATGGTCGACATCTGGTGCGAGACGCTGCTACAGGTGGTGATATTCGAAGCACTCTAGCTACACCATGATAAGGAGGTACTGCTTGCTGTTGGCGTTCCAGTTTCAGTTTGATAAAAGCGCCTGTAATTGCGTAGAACCCAAACTTTCGGAGGCTCCCTGTAATGAATCCAATACTTGTTGAGAACAGCCAAATTCGATTTATTGTCTCTGCTGATATGTCGTATCAAATCATCGTTTCATCTCGGCATACAATCGTCCCTTCGTGTTCAATTATCCAAAACGTCGCCAAGTCGTAACGACAGGCGAAGGCGTCCACGTTTTTGATTGCGGCCAACGTCGCGGTTTGAAGTCGCTAACATTCCCATTGACGGTTAGGGGACTGCCATGGCCGATATGGAATCTCACCCCCTCCTCTCCCGCCTCGCAACATCCGCCCAACTCTTCGCCGTCGGCAACCCCGGCACCCTCACCCCATTCCTCACGGCCTCAACCGCCGCATGCGTCATCCTCGGCGATGACAAAGCTGACCCGGTCAACACAGGACTCAGTGTCCCCGCCACACTCGCCGTATCCCGCATACTGACACTCATGTTCTCGCCCACCGTGCTCAAACTCTCGCGTCTCTCGCGATCCGTCATGCCTAGCCCGAGACCGTGTTCATCTTCTTGGAGGAAGGAAATCGTGGACATTCGTAGGATGGAGTTGGAGTGGTGCGGACGTGGGCTTGCTGGCGGTTGGTCTTCATGCTCAGTTTGGTGGTGGTAATCAGCGGGCAAAGCAGTCGGACTAGCCGGTCTCTTCACCTCTTCACCACCCACCATCTTGGGACTGCTGGCAGCCGGCGGCGTGCCCGCCACACTAATGTCAGCGAGCGAGGCCTTGGACAGACTCATACGGCTAAAGATGGAGCTGCTCATGCTGTACTGCGTGCTGTCAGTCGACGACGGGTCACGGTTCGTGTTGGGGGTGTTGGAGCGAATTGGTGTGGCGGGGTTGATGGCCCGCGGGAGGCGGGAGCCGGAGCCGCGAGAGCGGAGAGGGAAGCCAGCGGCGAGGTCCGGGCTGGAGTTGCTGCCGGAGATGGGGACAGGGGATGGGGTTGGGATGAGAGAGTCCCGCCGGACGGGTAAAGCCGCGAGGGTGAGGGCTTTGGGGGCGATGGCGGCCGCAGCGGTTTGGGAGTAGCTTGGTCGAGGGCTGTGGCCAATTGAGGGGGCGGGGCTTCGTTGTTGTATGGCGGGTTGAGGCGACCGTTGATAGTGCGGCGCATTTGGCGACGCGGTGGGGGGAAGTGGGTGCGTGCGTGGCCGATTGCGCATCATCAGCCCGGGGCTGGGACTGCAAGGGGTAGCCTGACGATCCGAGGCTGGTCGAGGGATGCCGGGCCGGGGTGGCCTCCTATTCTGCTGCATTTCGGCAACGAGACCTTCCAACCGCTTCCGCTCGACGCGCTCCTTGTCGAGTTGCGTTTGCAGTTTTGCAATGTTTTCCGCATGCGCCCGGCGTTCGTTGGTAATGCGCGCTTCATAGGTGCAG